GCTTTTTTATGATCGCGCTTTGATGTATGCGCTACATTGAGATATGTATCTTGCAACGTGTACCGTTGTACTACAATCGCTATCTTTAGACGCATTCACGATGGAAATACTATTACTATCAGCAAATGCTTGCTTAATTAATGTCCCGAACGACAAGCATACATTCATATTAAACATCCTCCTTTCGTTTGTTTGCAGGGGCTTTGGATTCATCACATTCGCAGACCCTGCGAGCGTAGACAAAGTGTTGGCGCAGGGCAATCACGAACTGGACGGCAAGAAAGTGAGTAATCATCATATTCTACCAGATTAATTCTAACAGTGCACAATCACATCCCGAGTTAAAGTTTCTAGCCTTTTTAACCCCTTAACTGTGCGCTCTTGTCTAACGCGAATTCATAATTTTATGTGCGAAATTTTTTAACAATTAATTCTTTTCAGTAGATATGATTTTAATGATTTTTGTAACTTGTAAAATTATTCGATCGTATATAGAGGAGATGGTAGTATTACGGCTTCCTATTTATAATTTATATAATAACTTGGTTAATAATAAAAATTTAAGTATAAAACTTAACGACATTCGTTAAAGTGTTGTTCAATCGATTTTAAACTCAAAGTTACGAAACATCTATTACATAGGACATTATTTATAAAAATATGGCAACATTGTATTAATGACTCTAAGAAAACAGGGATGGTAATTTGGCCTCCTATAAAAATAGATTTAAAAAATAGGCTTTGTTTAAAAAACACAATGGTTGCAAATTTGATTGCAAATTAACAAAAAAGTAAAACATTTTAGAATGTATGCAAATAAATGTATATACGTACATATAACTTCTATATATAGCTGCTCAGTATTAAAATTCTCAATACTAAAAATAGTAGATGTAATATAAACTATTGGTTAACAGTAGAACTACAATCGATTATTAAATAATTATTTTGATATGAAAAGTTCAAAAGAAATTTTGATATGAAAACTTCCAAAAAGAGGTCGTAAGTAATCAATACGCAATAGGTCCGATTATTCATTACTTAGTTAACTTGTGGTTAGGCTTAATGATGCTTTATCCAATGGAGTTTATTTATGATGATGTCATGGACAAAGCCTATTGGGTGAAACATCAGGTTAACCACAAGTTAACCAGATAATGAAAAATCAGGCCATAGGGGATATTACAAAATGCCATACTATTCTTTAAATTGCATATTCAAAGTGTATACAGTCAAATAAAATGTTAAATAGCAAACAACACACTCAAATATACATACATTTGTGTGATAGTACCTTTAAGTTTAAGGAAGTAGATGTAATTAAATGCTAAAATGTACTGAAGAAATGTTTCGAAATATTAAAAATGCATTATAATAAGTGCTTATTGAGTAGTTATTGAGCATTATCGGCATGTTAACGTCATGGTGTAACGGCGGGGTACTAAACAATTAATTCCATAAGTAAGTTAGGATTCTCTACATGTAATAGCGGAGATATTAAGAGAAGCCACAATATATCTATACATTGATACTATCTTCTCCTCTATGTATTTTTGTTTACTAATGTTTTTGCAACTTGTCTTAACATTAGAAGAGTGATTTCTATCGAATTACTGAATGATTATAAACATTAGGCTTATTATCGGAAGAGATGCTCCGCGGAAAAGAACAGCTATAAAAAAAGATACAAATTGCCGTGATCAAATGTGTGTCACGCGATTAATTTTCATGTCCGATCGGAGTTGCCGTCCCGAGATAATTGAAAGAGCATGCCGCGAGTCGATTGATCAAACCGATTGGTAGCTATAATCCACAGGTATATCCCGATTCGAGATGCATCTGTATCATCGATTTTGGGAGCAAAATATTTTTCGCATTTAAAACTTCATTAATTTAGCGTCAAATGTTATTTTGTTCCATTCACTACAATGTAGAAGTATATCATTCGTCATCTATATGTCGCAATTGTATTAATAATTAGTTTAATTATTAATACACCGTTTTTTATGAATACTTCAGAAAAAGTGTATAGACAAATTATTTTATTTTATTTTCTGAAATAAATTTTTTGGATTGTGCAACTTGTTAATGTCAATTTAGATTATTACCAGATTTAAAATTGAATTATTTTACAATAAAACCTGTTTTGGATTGAAAAATAATAATTTTTTCTTTTCTGTTTACACTCTGACATTTCCAGTTTATTTGTGACAATACATAGCTCAAATAGCATACAAAATATTTACACTTTTACGTTTTATCGATAGCAAAAATTATGACATTATATCCGAAAGAATAACTGTATAATTTATTGCATTGGATAGGAGAATTATAGCTATTCGTGACTTAAGATATGGGCCAAAACCGTAATAAAATCATTTGCATTTTATTTCAAGTTGTACGTGTCTCACATTGAAAAGTGATAATCGTAAAGCGGCAAAATTTTTCTAATATAATTGTAGATCACTGATTGAATTCTCACTTGTAAAAAATTTTATAATAATTATTTTGTAATAATTTATCGAGGAGAATATGATATTTCTCTATCGTTTCTTATCTTTTCTTAAGAGACGCCTTACACGCGCAATAGCATCGAGCGAAACGCGATGTCGACGGTACGATGATTAATCGTGGGCTGACATAGTCGTTTGGCAAACGTGCTATTCTCCCTTTCCTCCCCCCCCTCTCTCTCTCTCTCTCTCTCTCTCTCTGTCTGTCTTTCTCTGTGGATAAGACACAATGCTCGTGGAATAATATTGTAAGACGGCAAGCGCGGGCTGTACGACGAGAGAGAAATAGTTGCGGACATTAGCTGTCCACGGTGCTATAAGTAGAGCGACTCCACCGCTGGAGCGGCCACCTAAGTGGCCCCGAATACGCTTAAGCGAAGGCAACCCCGGCCGTATCCTCGACTCGCATAAATTTCGCGTAATTCGCTCCTGCTAATGCAAATTGCGAATGCACGGATCCGGAAGCTAACACCTTCCCGATAGCGGGAAGAGAATATCGCGCGTATAGGCCAACCGCCGGCGCATCCTATTAAGGCTTCCTCTTAAGGGATGAGATGTCCTCACCCTCTAGCACTCTATCTGCCCATTTCTCGCCCTTTTCACCTTTCTCTCTTTCTCTCATCGAGGAAAAAATTAGAGGCGAAGAACGTACAAGGAATGCAAACGTGTGGAAGAGCTCGTTTGCGTTGCTTTGATTTGCTGACGAGTATCGCTGCATTAATTAATGTCGCCTTCATCCCTGTTCGCGCTAACGAATGGGAGGCTCTTAACTCATGCTAACACGCGAATATAAATACAGTTGAACAAAAGCGAAATATACGATATTCTACCAGCAAGTGTTGTTATTTAGGTTCTTCTTTTCGCTTTACTATTCATATGTGAACTTTCAGAGAATAGAGTAGAAATATTAATTGTAACAAATATTAATTGTAACAAATATTAATTGTAACAAATATCCAATATCGATTGAATGTCAATAATATTTCTTCTCGGAAAGTTCACGTATGAAAAGTAAAGCAAATATAAATATTTTTCTGAATAATTAATTATCGAATGTTAATGATATATTTTATTTAATTGAATTAAAAAAGATATCTATTACATAAAATTCCGATTAAATTAATGCGAATTTTGCAAAATATAGAAAAATATTTGTTGCAAAATGCAAATAATCTCTCTTACAGTTATATCTTTTATTTAAAAAAATGCATAATTTAACAAAAGAAGCAAAGTTTTCACGAATGTGAGTCGACCACTTGGCTCATTCTGATTATATAATCATTATCGAAAATCAACGTGAGTTAGTTCACGCAAGAATGATTTTGCGGGTCGATATGCCAAACATTTCTCTCCATCTGGCATGAACAATGATTTTCGCAACGTGCCGCGTAAGCACTCACCGCGACACAATGCTGACCGATCAGAATAGCTAGCAGATTCCGCTTAATCGGGCTTGATGCTGATTAAAAAATACGTGGATCGGATGTGCGCGTTCTCGTTTACGTCCCGTTTGGTCTCGACAGGTGTAGTGGAAGTAGCCAAATCGGTTGTACTCGCGCATGTTTCATTCATGATGATAGCGCTCCGTAATACGAGATTGCGGAACTGTTCTCTATTCTCTCACAAAAATTTAGTAGTACAGATTCTCTGCAGAATTATAGGTTAGAGTGCGAACTTAGAGAGACAGCAATTATTATAGTAACACGGTTTTGAGACGCTAACGATTAAGAATTAAATGTTTTTAACGAATTAACGCGAGGGAGTACACTAACTTTATTCTCCAATGTATTTTTAATAAATCTTGTTTAAATAATCTTTCAATTTTACGATCAAAAATATAATTTTCAATTGCAAAGATTTTTTATAATATAAATTATAAAAAAAAAAGAAAGAGGAGACTTCAAAAAGAATATAGTCAATAAAGTTTTTGAAAAAAAACTTTTATATCTCTCTAAAGAATTTGTTCATGAAAAGAAAAACGATTTTTAATTGCAAAAAGAATATATTGTATGGAAAGATTATAAGAAAAAATAATTTCTATATTTGCATTAAGTTAAAATTACAAAAATTATATCGCATTTCTATTTCATGATGTAATTTTTTTATCTTTTATTAGATCAAAGTGTTTATTCTTTGTATAAATTTTTTTAGAAAAATGATTTTATTTCAAGCAATATAAATTTAAATTTCTTAATTAATATTAATGTTCTTTTTATGTTAATTAATATTAATATTAATATTAATATTAATATTAATATTCCTTTCGTATTAATATGAATATTTATAAAGATTAACTTACGCATTAAAGATATAATAAATCCTAATTGTTTTCTAACCTCATTCTGTGATATATTATAGCTATATGTGATAAAGGTGACTTGACATGATATGATATAAAGGATAAGAACAGATGCGGGTGATGAGGTCCAAGAAGAAATCATGAAAGCGAAGGAACCTCTAAGGATGGATGCACGCGAAATTGTGGAAGCTCTTTAGAACTCTCTGCATGGCCCGCATTCCTGGATACCTTCAGACGTCTCGACGCTTTAGAAATATATCGTATGAGAGCACGTGGTGAACGAGTCTCCTTTTCCTCATCCGTTGACTTCCTTTCTTCTTTAAAGAAGAACGGGCTTTAACCCTTTTCAAAATATACCGGTTTTATTACCAAAAAGAATGTTATAAATACAGAACACATTTACGTTCTCTCTGTAGTTTCTTTGACGTTCTCTTGCAATTTTTTTCACGCAGTCGTTAATTATAATTTTTAAAT